TCCTTCTGATTCCTTTTTCATTCACCATTTGTCCATTTCCACCTTAGGTTAATAATGCTCTTCATCCCCATGTACAAGGCAGGAACATATTTGCTTTGGTGAGCAAGAAAAAGGTTCTTTAAAAATATGTTGGTTAGAACCAGCATTTCTAGTTGCTTACGTATATAAATCAAAATCCAGTATCTATGCTGGCACTTACCTTTTCACTCCTATGAAACAGTAAGATACTGGTTGTTTTGGTTTGTTTTTTAATTAGATAAATTGACAGTATTCATTCATTCATTCCACAAGCATTTACCTAGTACTTGATATGGGCCTGGCGTTGTTAGCCCCTGAGAATACCTAAATGGAGACACAGTTCCTGTCTTCTAGAACCACACAGTCTGATAAGGAAGACAGTTAACTTGAAAACGTGTGGTCTGTGCAGTGATAGTGACACCCACATGGAAGCACTGAGGACCCAAGGCTTACTGCAGAGAGAAGCGGAGGCTCACAGCAGCCTTCCTGGAGGAGGTGGCGTCAGCTGGATTTAGAGGCTCCATTCCGAGTCAGGCTAGTGTTTGAGTCCTGGTCTTGCAACCTGCTGGCTGTATGACTTTGAGTAGTTACATAACCTCATCAAATCTCAATTCTGTCGTCTAAACAATACAGATAACATTGTTACCTGCCTCACAGATGGTTTAAAGATTAAATAATGTAGGTAAAGTGCTACTGTCTCACAGATGGTTTAAAGATTAAATAATGTAGGTAAAGTGCTACTGTCTCACAGATGGTTTAAAGATTAAATAATGTAGGTAAAGTGCTACTGTCTCACAGATGGTTTAAAGATTAAATAATGTAGGTAAAGTGCTAGTCGCAGTGCCTGAAACATGGTATGCTCTCTAAAACTGAACCAACACTGCTGCCACCATCATTTGCCAGGCCCTATTCACAGTAAAACATATTATGCGAATAAATAAATAATTGCATATAGATATCACAAAGAGAAGACCATTCAGGCAATTAGGTCACAGACCCTGGGCCAGATTTGGCAGTAGTTATGATTAGTTCATTTGTGGACCAAACAAACAAAGCAGTTAATCAAAAAAGCAAAATCAGCATCTCCAAAAGTCACAAGTAAGAAAAGATTCATAGAAGCTAGTAGAAAATTTGTAGAATTTTTCCAGAGCAGTAGTTTATTGTTGTTATTTTTAAGTGAATTAATGACAATATTTTAAACATGCCTCAGTTTTAATTTCTAATGTGGCAAATATCAATAGATATAACAATCTCTTTAGGGTCTTGAATAATTTTTCAGAACCTAAAGGGGTTCTGAGACCAAGAAGTCTGAGAACCACTGTTGTAGAGAACAAGATCTTCCTGGAATTCTGTTCCCCAGAGGACCATTGGGCTGCAGGGAAGCAGAGGGCTCAAGTGGGCAGCCCACGCACAGGCTGTTCTTGACCTAATGGTATGACATCTGCCTCCTGGCCCTCCAGGGGAGTGGTTCTCAGTCCTTGCTGCACACTGGAATCACTCGGTGTGATTAACAAATAGATGCCTGGCCCCACCCCTAGAGTTAGTGATTTGGNCCAGAGTCTTGGATTTCAGATTGGAAATATGTCCTGTGCTTATCCTTCTGATTCCTTTTTCAAGCCACAATTTGTCCATTTCCACCTTAGGTTAATAATGCTCTTCATCCCCATGTACAAGGCAGGAACATATTTGCTTTGGTGAGCAAGAAAAAGGTTCTTTAAAAATATGTTGGTTAGAACCAGCATTTCTAGTTGCTTACGTATATAAATCAAAATCCAGTATCTATGCTGGCACTTACCTTTTCACTCCTATGAAACAGTAAGATACTGGTTGTTTTGGTTTGTTTTTTAATTAGATAAATTGACAGTATTCATTCATTCATTCCACAAGCATTTACCTAGTACTTGATATGGGCCTGGCGTTGTTAGCCCCTGAGAATACCTAAATGGAGACACAGTTCCTGTCTTCTAGAACCACACAGTCTGATAAGGAAGACAGTTAACTTGAAAACGTGTGGTCTGTGCAGTGATAGTGACACCCACATGGAAGCACTGAGGACCCAAGGCTTACTGCAGAGAGAAGCGGAGGCTCACAGCAGCCTTCCTGGAGGAGGTGGCGTCAGCTGGATTTAGAGGCTCCATTCCGAGTCAGGCTAGTGTTTGAGTCCTGGTCTTGCAACCTGCTGGCTGTATGACTTTGAGTAGTTACATAACCTCATCAAATCTCAATTCTGTCGTCTAAACAATACAGATAACATTGTTACCTGCCTCACAGATGGTTTAAAGATTAAATAATGTAGGTAAAGTGCTACTGTCTCACAGATGGTTTAAAGATTAAATAATGTAGGTAAAGTGCTACTGTCTCACAGATGGTTTAAAGATTAAATAATGTAGGTAAAGTGCTAGTCGCAGTGCCTGAAACATGGTATGCTCTCTAAAACTGAACCAACACTGCTGCCACCATCATTTGCCAGGCCCTATTCACAGTAAAACATATTATGCGAATAAATAAATAATTGCATATAGATATCACAAAGAGAAGACCATTCAGGCAATTAGGTCACAGACCCTGGGCCAGATTTGGCAGTAGTTATGATTAGTTCATTTGTGGACCAAACAAACAAAGCAGTTAATCAAAAAAGCAAAATCAGCATCTCCAAAAGTCACAAGTAAGAAAAGATTCATAGAAGCTAGTAGAAAATTTGTAGAATTTTTCCAGAGCAGTAGTTTATTGTTGTTATTTTTAAGTGAATTAATGACAATATTTTAAACATGCCTCAGTTTTAATTTCTAATGTGGCAAATATCAATAGATATAACAATCTCTTTAGGGTCTTGAATAATTTTTCAGAACCTAAAGGGGTTCTGAGACCAAGAAGTCTGAGAACCACTGTTGTAGAGAACAAGATCTTCCTGGAATTCTGTTCCCCAGAGGACCATTGGGCTGCAGGGAAGCAGAGGGCTCAAGTGGGCAGCCCACGCACAGGCTGTTCTTGACCTAATGGTATGACATCTGCCTCCTGGCCCTCCAGGGGAGTGGTTCTCAGTCCTTGCTGCACACTGGAATCACTCGGTGTGATTAACAAATAGATGCCTGGCCCCACCCCTAGAGTTAGTGATTTGGTTGGTCTGGGGTGTAGCTGTGACATCATTATTTTTTAAATCCCCAATTGACTGTAATGTGAAGTCAAGGTTGAGAGCCACTGTTCAAAGTAGTTAGTGTAAAGGTAGCCAGCTTGGTAATAATGGCAGAATACAGCACCACGACCTCTGGATTACTTGTTTATTTAACTGATTGTTGCTACTAAAAATCTCAGGGAAACTACATCAAGTCCTTGTTACCAAAGTTAAGATTATTTTCCGTAAAAAGTCTAAAAATTAGACAAGACCGAAAATATCAACAGCAGTTTAATCATTTTGCTATTTAGATTTTTAAAAAATAGTAGTTAGACATACTTTGTCTGAACAAGGGTAGATTCTTAGCCAAATTTCATATGTTCCCCGTGTCATAATGTCATCAGATGGCGTTTATCTCAGCCTCAAGTTCCTTACTCCTTTGTGGCAGCTTTCCCTCTGGGTGATTCCCCAGGCTTTTCCTGGAGGCTGCTGTCCTCTTGGTCGTCCTTGCGGTTGCTGTATGTCTGTGGATTATCCATGGAAGGTGGATTCCCACTCTGGTTACCACCCATTGAACCCCCACCAAAGGATTTGAACATATTTAGAGGAACCTATATTACCATCATATTGGGATGGTCAAAACACGATATGGATGGCCAGTCCATTGCTGCAAATACTCTTAAAATGAATAAATTATGGTGCATTCCAAAGCACAACTGAAATTATTTTTATGCTCACAATTTTGTATTATCCAGAGCATACTAACTTGATTTATTTGGGTACTCGACACTTATCTTTATATATTATTACTGTTTTAAACTTTATGATGAGTTGATAGTTACTGCTACAGATATTGCAATTTTTATCTCCATACTAAACTTTCTGATGAATTATAAATTAAAAATGTTGCAGATGAATAGAAATATTAACAGTTTTAAATTTGAAATAACTGGGAATCCTGCTCTCAATTCTGAAACCATACCTCCAAGAGTGAATGTTGGAAAGAGGTGAGGACCAAGCCCATTTAAGGAGGTGGTCTCCAATCATTAGGGCCTGTACAAGTCAACATGAAGAGAGACGAGTTTTGCATTTTGACTCATGCTCTACATTTATTCCTCTGACTAGTGAATGTGCTCAGTGCGGTCCCTTCCTTTCTCCTTTCAGGACAGTAGGTTTACATAGTAGTTAGACAGGTACATATTCCAAGCCCCTGGTATTGTTGCTCCAACCCATCCACCGCTAGTCTAGAGTTAGCCTTAAAAGTAGACATCTGCTTATGCACAGGGCAAAAGGGTGCTTTTTCTACAGTGTTTAAGTCATGTTCTAGAATATGATTCCAAATCTAGGTGTGTTGCCCACCTCTCCAAGGCCGGGCTGCACTAGTGAAATGGGAAGTTGCTGGGTTTGTCTTGAGAATGGCCAGCCCGTCCACTCCAGTACTACCCCAGGAGGCAAGTATGATTCCTCCCCCCGCCACGCCCTCCCCCCCACATGTAGTTTCTAGGTTTACAGGGGTGATTTGTTACGTCCCTTTGTGGTACTTCCTTTATGACATTTTTAACGCTTGTATCACAACTGCAAATCTAACTGTAACCCCTAACACTCACATCGTGCTAGCCTGAGCTCCTGGAGGGAGTATTTAGCATAGCATGTGCTGTTTGTTGGCTAAAAGATTAGCTAAAGCAGAAGGATGGAAACTAAAGTTCCAAGCCATAACAATCGTCTGCATCGTTTTATGGACAATACATCTTAGAAACATCATGGGGGAGGGGTGTGTATGTTCCGCACTTTTGTCCGTGTGTATGGGATGGGGCTGGTTGGCTGGGTCTGTCCTTTCACTCCTGACAGTCTTCTCAAAAACCCTTCACAGGCTCTCTCCATGCCACATCAGTAGCAGCCTCCAGAGTGGAGCAGGCACTGTCAGAAGTGGCCTCGTCTCTGCAGAGCAGTGCCCCCAAGCAGGGCCCACTGCACCCCTGGATGACACTGGCACAGATCTGGCTCCATGCAGGTACCACTCTGCCCCTCCCCGTGGGCCCTTTCCCCCCGCCCACCCCTACCCACCCCTACTCACAGCCCGCTGCTGTGCCAGAGGCTGCA